GATGTGAGAATTAAAGTAGCGCGATGAAAAAGAAAGCAATTTTTTAAATTGATTTTATGTGCGGCTGTTCGCGTAGTGCTCTCCACAGGATAAGTTAAAACGGCCGTCTTAATAGCCAGCTCGCATCGTACAGCCACAAAATTGCTAAAACGTATATAAGAGCGCAACTCTTACAGCCACAGTTCGCCTTTAAGTGGAATCGCAGACGCGACACGTTCTATACACGAAGAGGAGAGTATTTTTACGAACGTCTGACCTAAAACTCACCGTGACTACTGCTCGTTCTTGTGCGGAGCTGAAATAGTGGTGCGAAAGGGAAAAAGAAATCTCGCGTATACACGTGCACATGCGCGCACATGCACTGAGACATGTTCTGCGAACGTCTGACCTAAAATACCGTGGTAACTGCTTTCTTACAATATCTAAAGGGAGAGAGAATGAAGGGTGATTGTGCGCTAATACAGATGTCAGTATATTCTGCTTAATATCCCTGCATTTTCTCTGATGCAAGATTACGTAGCTCTGTTCTCGTAATCTCGTAAAATCACGTTTCTTCCACCGTTTGAAGTTGGGATTCGTTTAAAACTGAGATTGCTGATAACTGCGAACTCAAGACAGTGTCTAATTCAATGCGAACAATGTATTTTTGTACGTACGTCATATATAAAAAAAGAAGAAAATTATAAAAGACCGTTAATATTTTGTCCATTTATCTGGGAATAGTAGTTTTTTATTGCGAGTTTTCGATGGAATTGCTTTATGAAGATTCGTTAAAAATAGTTATTAAAAAAAGAAATATGTTAAAACAATATGTATGTTATAATTCACACTTTTTCGTTGCTAGGTGAAAGTATAAAGACATCCCAGGTGACTATATTCCCAAATGATGCTTATTCATTCACTCGTTCGATAATGACAAGTCCGTCTTTTCTTTTTCCAATCGTTTCGCCGCAAGTAGATTTTTAGCTATATACAAAAGTAATTAGAAGTTAGAATTAGAAACTGCCGTCTCGCCGTTTCCGTTTGACGTACCACCATTAAACCGCAAGCGTAGGCTGAACTTCTCGCTGTTGAATTATTTACTCATCGCAATTAGCCGTTTCGCGGAAGAAGTCGCCGAAGTATTCGAAATACAGACGTCCCGAACGTAGTAATTACCACTGCTGGTATCGCATGCGATTAAAGCCCGTCACTATTAGCGGCGTCGCAATTCACAGTGCAATTTCTGTCGGCGGCAGACATTGAAGGGGGGGAGGGAGGGGGAGAGGACATGACGAGAAAAAGCGGAAGTGCTCTCGCGCCTCCTCCGTGTACGTTGATTTATGACACTGCGACGGTAACCTCACGCTTCGAGCATAAATTTCGTCCGCGTTGTTAAATAAAACTTCCCGTCGACGCGACGACGCGCGATGCGCGACTTGTGCATAATGCGGAAAATTCGCACCAAAGTAAGACACCATGGCCTCGGTTCCGACCGGGCGCAAGAACTTAATGTTTCTCATTTCCAAGTTCCGACAGTGTCGTCCGACGGGACATCAGCCAGCAACCTCTTGATAAGAATTTATTAACTTCGCTTAATCGCATTTTCTCATTTTTCTCAAGAGAAATATGTGTACAGGCTGTACAATGTTAAATAAGGAGCAATGGTAACTCAATCTCGTGGTTAAATAACATTTTATTTTTAACTTCTATGTGTGACAAAATATAAATCAATTCATTTCTGTAATTAATTTCAAACATTAATGTACTTACAAGGGACTTTATGTACTTATAGTTTATGAGTAGATGAATTTAGAAAAGAGCATAGCAGCAGATAATTTTAAGAAGTGAAATCGCCCTTTAAATGTAAAGTAGTTTTTAATTTTTTTATTACATCTCAAAAATAGTTAAAAATATAAAAAAGAATTTATAAAGAAATTAAAACTCGTAATGTAAACGTATTGTAAAATTATTTCTATTTATCTTTAATAATATTTTTAAAAAATAATTTTTTTCAAAATTCATATTTTCAAAATTATTTTTTAAAAACATTATTTATGTAGACAAGTAGAGATAATTTTATTATAAAACTTTTGTATTAGATATTTTTTGCTATCTCGAATAATTTTTGAAATATAACGAAAAAAGCTAAACATTGTTTTATATAAGGAGTTTCGCCCCTTAAAACCTTTATTTGCCGCTACTTATAGAAATAATTAAGGATAACTCAAGTTGGATATAATTTTATTCATTTTATGAATTTAACAGTCTGGTAAAATATGATAAGGAAGAACACTATTATATCAAAGTTATAACCTAATCTCTTAATCATCTAATTATAGTTGAATATTATCTATTATTTGTATTATTAACAATCGTTATCTAAACATTATTAAGCACTTAGATCCAATCCAACTGTTCCTGTGTATGTTTTTCGTAAAAGATTTCTTGAGTTAAATAACATTTTGTTATTTTTAACTTCCATGTACGCCAAAATTTAAATCAATCCATTTTTATAGTTAAACAACGTCTACATTAATGTATTCATTTAGTAAATAATAAAATTAAATTTAATACATTTTCTTGATTTAAATTGTTCAACTCCATTGTTTTCGTTAAATTAACCACATATTGAATAGCAGTGACAACTTATACAAAAATGATTAAAAAATAATTCAAACATGGTTTAATTTAATATTGTGAATTTGACAGTGTACATTAAAAAAAATAAATTAATAAAAATAAACTCTTTAGATTAATAAACATAAAACTAAAAAGAATTTTGTGGCCCCAATAATAAATAAAATATATAAGTAAAATGGTTGTTAAAAAAGCCTCCGCGGTTATTGTTACACAAATTGGATATGATTTGATATTATGAATTTAATAGTGAAAGAAATCTAAGCACTGGCTTATATTTGATTACAAATGATAAACATCTAAAAAATGCAAATAAATCCCAGTAATGTCAAACGGATGTCATAACGAGGAAAAGTAAGTAGGAGAAACTAATTATATCGCTGTACATGACGATCTCGCGTGACGGGGAGAGAAATAGAAATCACGATCTTCGCATCGCGTGCTTTTTGAAGTCGCATTTGCTATTTTTTGCAGCGCCAAGTACATGTCGTGCATGGAGCGTAACCTTAGGAGACACGTTCAGAACATTCAAATTATTCTGAACCAAGCCGTTTATTCTTGCTTTGAATGCATTGCAAAGCGACTCTTAAAGTTTTCGTTATTTATTATCATTGCCGATATCAAACCATTTAAAATGCAAATTACTCCCGCGTTTGTAGACTATCGTAATACGCATTTAATTATTCCTAGCGTTATCAGATGCTGCTGGATTAAAGTGGAGCATTATATGTGTCAGAAATATCTTGTAATTAGAATACGAATGCGATTAATGCTATCGTGTTTTAAACGCGAGTAAACCCGCGAGCCAATATTGAATAAAGATAATCCGTTGCAATAAATCGCGCCATTTTTATCGATTTTAGCTTTAGCATAAGAACAGCCTACTTTATATTACAATAACGTTATAATATATCCGTTAACATAATAAATTCCATAAAGTTCAACGTGATATCAAATTTACATATTTTTGAAATAATTAAATAATAATTAGTTTTGCGTTTACGTTTGCTCGTTGTACATGAATTACAGTAAAATATCAATATATTATATGTTCTTTGTGTATATGTTTATGTGTGTGCGTATTAAATATTAAAAAATCAGAAGCACCGCGTTCAACATGTTTACGTAGATTAAGACTCCTATTTATTTATCACTACTATCTCAGATTTTGACGTTAGAAGCAAGAAAATACGTAATAAAAATTTTTGCAAAATATATTAATATGGAAATGGAAATATGTTTCAATAAAATAATACTTCCCTAGTAATACAATACAATTTATTGGTACAATATTGACTTAATATTAGTTCAAAACGTTCCCAACACATGCCATATATTTAACCAATATTGTCAATAAATTGCTACTAGGATTACAATCGAGAAAACTGACTTGTAAAATATATCAAAAATTCCTTTATTTTGTTAATTAATAAATGACTATATACCTGGAAATGAATTATGCATAATCAAAAACGAAATAAGCTATGTTCACTGTTATGACAAATTGTCAATCATACAGAAATTGTTAAAATCATATAAAAATGAATATGATTTAATTTCTTTCCGAAACAGAAATATAGTTTTTTGTATATTTTGTAAATCTATTCTATTAATTACAAATATTATTTCATTGAAAATTATTTCTACTCAAATATATTTTGCAAGAATTTTTATTATGTGTTCTCTCTTCTAACGTCACAATCTTAAATAATAATGGTGAGTGAACAAAAGCTTTAGAGCTATAGCATACAAAATGTATAAGCATAGCATAGCATAATATAAGATCGTTTGGACTAATGAACATCCAACATAAAGTTTCCATATTCATTTACATAACATGCTCATTGATCCAAACGGTCTTATACTAGCTATGCTATGTTTATGAATTTTGTGTGTTTTAATCCTTAATTTTTAAGTAGATAATTTAAAGATATCACAGTTAGTAGATGAGCTGCTCAGAACATCTCTAAAAATGTTTGTTTTATGCAGTAAGATAAATATTTTTAGTAAAAAAATGATAATTAAATCAAATTAATAATTCTGGCATCAAAAATAAGTGTATGCTTATTTGGGAAATACTGAGTACTTTTTCAAACAAATGTTTATTAAAATTTAATAAACTCTCTTCAGTGTAGTTACATTTTTTTAATAATACAATATGTTATGTATAGTTAAATTTACATTAATTATATCTTTATGAGTTTGAGGAATAAAAAATAATGAAAAATTTCTGGGTATCTAGATACTTTTTATTGTCGCAGAACAAAGTTTTAAAGAAATCTATATTTGAAGTACTGTGGCTCCACCTACCCACTTAAAGATTAAGCAATAAATTGAAGTGCGATTTAACTTACATATATATTTCCGCTTTATCGTTGCAGTTCTGGTCCGCGTATGTGCCCTGCTCGTCGCAGCATCTCGACTCGGTCCAGCTGGCCCTGGAACAGATCGATCTTATTCGCCGATTGGTCAACAAGCATGCGGACAGTATGGTCCTCGTTACCACAGCGGAAGGTTCGTATTTTCATCCGCCCGTTTACGGGCTCGTGAATGCAGCGATAAAATCAAGAATGCATAAGTTATTAGCGAAACCTTAAATCCATCACGGCCTGCGAGAATGAAAATTCGCCCGGCGATACATTTGGCGAAGTGCCAGCGCGATTTGACCTCAGTTCCGCTCGATACTTTCGAGCTTGGAATACTTTCGATTGAGTTCGCTTGGTCGGCACTTCGCCACTCAGAAAAATATATGAACGACATTCCGCAGAAGAACTTTTGAGAGCCATCAATTTAAAATGCTCCCTATTTTTCATCCGACGGGAAATTTATCCCAAATTATAACGAATATTCCACTTAACCCTTTAATGCCAAGCATATTACTTGATAATCCGAGTTTCGCCCGGAGATTAATGTGTTGCTCGGCACTGGATCAGTCTTGCATAATTGCTCGCTATATCAATCTACTCTTCAACAGACTAATGTTTAAAGTTATAGAGACAAAATCCACAGTAATTTTTCCCTCATCCGTACAAACAGATTTTTAGGTTCATTCTATGAAATTTTTTCCCGGCCGTTATCCGCGTCCACATTCTGCGCCGACCTTTTCCTGTAATCTCCATGTCTCGCATGTTTCGCATGCTGATGGATATTCGCGAAAATAAAAATATAACTTAAAATGTCGCCCTTGGAAATGTGTCGTCTGCAGCACGTGTTCGCTACGTCTCCCGGAGCGTCTGGGACCGAACGAATCGCAACAGCATTAAATTTTCATTGTCGAATCGTGTTACCTACTTCTCGTTTCGAGTTCTCGACATATTCGAGATCCCTCGACATTCGGAGGCAAGCCAGAATCGTCATTTTTCCATCCTGCGCTTCGTTCTCGCATCCCTCCACATCATCTTCGCTACGTGTTCTTTCTCTCAAAAATTTAAAATGCACTTTAGACCGTGTGGAAGAAGTGCGATCCGGGAAACGAGCAATCGTTTTTCCAATGTAAGAAGCATCTTTCGACCTCGTTGAATCCATTTCAGAACGATCCGCCGATGAACAGTTGAGTTTTCCAGGTGCGATGTTCCCCTAAAGGATTGGAAAAAAAACGAGAATGTAATAAGATCGATCCGAGGGAAAAACGTTTTTCTCGTATCGGTTCTCTTCTATTTTTAAAAGCGAAATTTCCACATAGAGGATCGAATCTCTCACGCAGCACGGAACAAATTTATTGATGTCATAAAAAATCTGATGATGATCAAATACGTTCGTATTGGCAAAAATACAGTGTACTATTTGGCGCGTTTCGAAAATCACATTTATACGATAAATTTTGTACGCCACTTTATTCCATATTCGTTGCCGCTTTGCAATAACAAATTGTTACAGTCACTGGACTTGTCATGTTTTCATTTTGTATTTGTTTTTCAAAAGATTTGAATTAAATAAGAATAATATACTAGCTTCTCTCGTTTAAAAAACTAAAAAGTTAATTAATCCATTGAAATTTTGATAAAAATCAAAAAGAGATAATTAGAAAAAATTAAAAATCTGTCAAATATTTTAAAGGATTAGAATGTGCTTTAGACCTTATCTTATTTTAGAGATTTTTGTAAATGTTTATGTCATATTTGTCTCATAAGCGCTTTCCATAATAAGCTCATTACCTAAGCTATAAGTTTTAAGCCGTAAGAAATTGATTAATCAATTCTTTTCATATGATTGATCAATTACTTACGACTTAAGATTTAAAGCTTAAATGGAAATTGTAGAAAATCCATCACTCTTGCGTTAATTTTGTGATATCATATAATTTAATAAAAAAATTCGCTTTCCCCCTCCTAAAGACATTTTTATTATTACATTTATTTTTGCAGCCATTATAACTATAATGTTTTGATATGAATATCGTAAACGTGAGATTTTGATAGATTTTTCTTTAAACATGCAAACATGGAAAAAAAATCGATGATAACGGCAATTACAACACGATGAATCTGCAACATTTAAAAAATAAGAAAAAAACTAAGTCTCGATAAATAGCGTCGCTTTATCGATTGATTTTTATTTGTCGTATGTATTTCTAAGAAAAGATAGATATTCACGAGACGGATATTACAGAAACGGTTTTATCAAGTTTAATATTACGGGAAATAGTCATTATACTTTTGTTTCTTCACAAGCATTATATAAATAGAGTTACTCGAGGCAATCGAAATGGATATTTTAATCAAATGCGAAATTAAGCGATATCGATGAAAATTATATTAAATATTTTATGATATTTATTCAATGAAACCTTTGATAGAGCGTTATTCGAAGAAGTTTGAAACGGAAGAGATTAAAGCAAATTTTGCTTAATATATAACAGATTAGGGATTATCTTGTATAGAAAATTCCGTGCATATTCCTGCACTCTAACAAAATATATCGAATTCTTTTTCATTTTTAAATAATGTAAAATTTCTGCCATAGCTTTTCACTGCCTCAGTTGCTATTATCTCTTTCTTAACGTTCGCCTAAAGGAAGCATCTTTCTCTCTCTTTCTCTCTCCCAGTTATTTTTAATGTGTCTTATTTTGCGAGGATGTATACGCGTCAGACGAATTCCTAGAAAATTTCCTATATTTGGTGAGCAAATATTTGCTGCTGGATTTCGCCGTCCCGCTGTCACAATGCGCGCTGTCTAAGCGTAACGCAAATCCGATGGGAAGATGATGGAACACGAGAAAGATGCGCCGGATGGTAAATTCCAACTGGAATGGAAAAATGTCGGTCCGGTGCTACCGACCAACGTACTCCGTTCGATAACCCCGAACGCCGACGACTGCATGTCGCCGTGCACATCCATATGCAAATGAACATAAAATACGCATATGTACGTTCATACATACGGACAGCTGATTGTACGAAACCGACAGCCCGTTCCCGCGTTCCCTCTCCACGTGTCACAGGAATTTTTTCACCGCTGATTAAAAAGGCCAAGGTATATCACGGAAAATGTAAACGCTCGTTGTAATTCCGACATACGTTGTTTCACATTTTCGCGTGATATTTTCGAGTGTCGAATCCACCTCGGCGAGTGACGTTTCTGAAGAAAACAATTTCGCACGGTATTCGCCAGTATATCTGTCTCGAAAAAAGTCACGTTTAATTTTCGAAGTTGCATTTATGACCCCTACCGCATTTTTCCTTCGACACGTGGAAGCTATAGAGAAAATCACGTACTTTACCTTATATGCGCGCAATCCGTTCTCGATTCATATTTCTCGAAGCATTGTCTCCGCTTGTACTCGCAGTACATTTATACGAGCGTTGATAGAAAGACAAACGATCGTACGTCACCGTAAAGCAAACGCGTGCTCGTCTTTTTAAAAATATGCAAATTTCATGCACGTTACACATCACGGTGGTGCGCTATCTTTCCCGTCTGGCAAAAGGGGGTTTCGCGCGAAGAGAGCTCGCAAGCGAGAAAGTACAAAATATAGCACTTTGGGGAAGCAATCTGCCAGATGGAAGAAAGGGCTCCAGTAGAACGCGGAAGATGAGAAATTCCACGAGGAATGGAAGAATGTTCTGAAACCATGGAGCCCGCCGTAGCTCCTCCGATAATGTCGAAATGCTAGTCTTGGTATATACGTGAGCGCGAGCACGTACATACATTCGCATGCACTTTGTGCGAGATATATGTGCATACGTACGTGCAGGGACACCCTGAACTGATACACTCGCAGGATCAAATGTATCAGCGTTACGTGCGGGCGGGTGCAAAAGTATAAATCGCAGGCCGCACTAAATCAGGTGACCATCGACAGCACGCGTTTTATTTGCGTCACTCTTTTTTCGTCCATTCGTCCATTAGAGAAGCCGTAATACAACGTAATCGTCGGCTACGTCAACGGGAAAAATTAAAGCCGCGACAAATGACATTCGTTTGTGACACATGCAATTTATTTCGAAAATGTAGTCTGAAGAAATCCATCGTTAAGCTTTACGCTGTTAAAAAGTTGGAGAAAGGAATTCGTTGAAAGCTAAAGAAGGCAAAGTTAAAACGATCTTAAATCTACACGGAAAGAATGATTTTGCTAGAGTATTTAAATATTTAGATATACATTTAAAAATAATTTGATTAGATATACGTCTAAATATAATTTTGTTGGATCATCAAATTATTAAGATTCAATGTTTGTTAGATTGTCCAAATTTTGTACAGCATTATCATTGACATTCAAGGATATACATTTTTAACAAAATGAAACCATTATGAACAAACTATAGATTTTTCTATATCATTCCCTTAATTAAAAAAGTGATACAATTCAAAAAATGTGATTTTCAAATTATTATCATAAATGAGTTACGTCAAAATTCTAGGTATCAATCATCAAAAGTATATGTACAAACTAATTTAACTTCACAGTCTATTTATCAAATAGCACTTATGTCATTCTTAAGATTTCTTTAAAGAGATTGTAATATTTTCTACAAGAGTAACAAATTTGTGTCATTTTTATAGATAAAAAAGAGAGTTTTGACAGAGAATATTTAAAAACAATTTTGGTGATTAAAATTAAAAAAAAAAAGATTTTATTTTGAATTTATTTATTTTAACTGATCGAGGCAAATATAAATTGCTTTGATATATTTCGAATTATGTCACGTTTGATAAATTATTCCAGATTTGTTATAATTTTGTAGAATATTAAAAAAAATCATCACAACTCAAAAAAGATAATTTTTTTAAAGGTTGTATAAGGAAAATGACAAAAATGATTGTGATTATGCTTTTAAGAATATATTCTTTTGCCGATATTACTTGATCAATAATTTTTTGTTAAATTGAATAATTATATTTTTCCTTTTTTCTAAAAAACTTAATTTTTTTTAATTATGTCGCTATTAAAGTAAGGGAATGATATCGTATTTGAAAGTAATATAGAAAATATAGTGGCAAATTTTTAAAATCTGAATAAAAAATATAAATAAAAAAATTTAGATAAAAAACCCATATCAAAATTATTTCAATAAGAAATAAACATGTTTTTAAAAAATAATTAAAATAAAATGAGAAAATTTTTATTTGAACTATAATATTGATCTTAATCATTTGATTCATGTGTAATATTTATATTTATATTTAATATTTATATCAAATATAATATTATCATATGTAATATTTATATTTGTATGGGAAGTATAAATATTACAATTACTTTTTATCGAGACGATACATCCCTAAGCATTGTATATATTTATTTTAACAATTTAATGAAATTCTTTTCAGATATGAATCTAGTTAAATTTTCAGACATTTCTATAATAAAACCGTTTTCTCTGTGTAGACACGTCAGAAGTTTTCGTATTGAAAGATGGCTTCCATGATCTGTCGTCCTAAAAACGGGATTATACATTTAAAAAGTATGCAAATTCTAGTACAGGCACTCTTCTACTTACAAACTTTCGTTTCACAAACTTTCGCAAGTACGAAGAAAATTATAATTCGTCAATGCCAGCGCTGTGAGGGTCGCTCGCATAAAGAAGGAAGTAGACCAATTTAATCTTTAGAAGAATAGTGCTTGGCTTTTTTAATTTTTTGTACGTGTGTTTTTTTTTTTAATTTAAGTAGTCATTTTGAGTTATAAAAGATTATAAAATTGGCATGTCCTAAAATCATAAAACTAAATTTATCTCCGAAAACGTTTATCCTATGCAAAAAGCCCTATCTGCATGAGCTCTTCAATTATCGATCGTTCGACCGGTAGGCACGTTGAACGTATTAAAAATATACACCGGTATATATCGTAACGATGCAGCGCGGGTATTATGTATTCCGGTTACTGCTTTTGTGATATTACCTCGCTGCGGAACGATATTTTTAGAAGCGCGATAATCCGCCGTTGGCGTCAAGTGTATTACTTCCACCTAGCTGCCGTGAATTCTTTGTAATTGGATGATAAATTACACTGCGTACTTTTTTTCCCCCCTTTTAACGAACTCGTCCGTAAAGCCGGAGTATCGTAGGTAACCATCAAGAATTCGTCTGGGAAAGCGCTATAAATATATATATATATATAAATCGTAATATATGTGCAATTTTACGCAAACATATTGACAGCGAGACACACCTCGCGAACCTTCCCCTTCCTCCCAACGTGTGTCCAACGGGTGCTTTAATCAAATCCGCAAAACGCAGACCGCAAAATTGGATTCCCAGATATACCGCCAACCAGATCTCGCGCCGTCCAATTCGATTAAGCGATTAAACGTCGCAGATCGAATTCGCGAAACGCTGACAAAATGCCCGATTACCTGATTAAGAGCTTCGATTCCACAAACTGAGTTTTTCTTCGATCGGATTTCGGGCTTTGGACGTCGTACACCGCGCTGGGGTTAATTAACTTTTATTTACACTTTGTAATTAACGATCGCGATGAGACATTCCTGATAATCACGGGCAATTTGAAAGATTTAATTAATCCGAAGATCGGAGACTCTGGATAAACTCGTTTAATTATGATCCATGTGCATCGCGCATTGTGCACATCGTAATTGAATTCTGCACTCGCCTTGTTCACGCTGAAAATCGTGCAAGACAAAAGGGGATCATGAAAAAGATATTGCGTTCATAACTGAAGCATTTTTCTCTGATGAAACTTTCGTTTCAGATGCAATTCCGGTGTATAAGTACGTATGTCCGTCGGAAGCGCTGTTTCCGGTGCGATTTTGTCGTTGTTTTCCAATGTCGTGCAAAGAGAATTTGCAAACTTCGCAGATCCACTTACCATCGGTATTACTTATCGGAGGTACGGTTGGAACTTCGTAACGACGTTCCAGCCGTTATTAGATTCACGTGTCACTCGCGTTACGTGCGAAAGCTCGTGAGAGCAAGATTATTCTTCCGAGAAAAGTTAATGGACAACGCGCAAATCTGGATGGAACTGAAACGTAGAGAGCTTCTCGTTTATGTCGCTCCTTCGTAATGTTAAACAGCAGTCAGGGTTAAAAGTGCATGCGGGGTTTATCTGTCTGAAACACACATCCGACATATTCATATTCGGGTTATCGAGCTCTTATGATCCAACGTCCCATCTGAGCAAGAGTCCACAATGTGATGAGATTCCAGATTCATGCTATGAATAATGACGATAGGAAGGAAATGATACATGAAATAAGTTATGATGTATGGTTACAGGTATCGAGAGGGCGCACAAAGAGGCTAGATTAGCAAGTCTGATAGGAGTCGAAGGGGGCCATGCTGTTGGAGCGAGTCTCGCGGTCCTGAGGATGCTGTATGAGTTGGGCGCCAGGTATCTCACCCTCACGCACACGTGTAACACGCCTTGGTGAGTGTGCCAGCGCAGAAATAAGAACGTCGACGATCAAGCTCTAAAATGGTGCACAATACGAGAAACGAGTACAACGCGTTACGTTAACCCATTACACTTGTATCATGTAAGCTGCAATTTCCTTAGACTTTAGAGGTTCTTACTTCTTATCGTTATACGTACACAAACTCAAGCTCTAAATCAGATTCAAACTCATTTCGCTTAAATCAAAGCGTTAAAAGCGTATGCGGTAAATGCAATCGAATTAATCTTTCGGAGCTGACATCCAAATCTATCTAATCTTTACATAGTTCGTTCCCTTACATTAAAAGTGACAACTTGAAAAATTAGTTTTTCAGAAAAGAGAAAAAATTATTTTCTAATTTGGTTAGTCAACAAAATTGTATTAACAAATAATATTAACGAAAGAATAGACTTTTAGAAATATTAAATATCATTTTTGTACATTTTCGTTTCACAATCCTTAAAAAAATTATCGCTTTTAAGTTACGATTTTGATTCTATAAAATTATAACAAGTTTGTAATAATTCATTAAAAGTAATGTAATTTGAAATATCAAAACAGTCAGTATTTAGCTTGATCAGCTAAAATGATTAAATTTAAAAAAAAACAATTTCTTCTCCAAACTTTGATTGCCAAAACTACCTTAATTCTAACGTTCTATATAAAAGGTTTCCTTTTTATCTATAAAAACGATGTAACTTTAAAATTTGTCATTTTTGTGAAAAAGAATTATAAGCTCTTTAAAAATCTTAAGAATAGCACAAATACTATTTGGCAGACAATCTGTGAAAGTTAAATTAGTTCACTTTTTTTGACAAAATAATCTTTACCTAATTCGTTCATGGTAATATCTCACATTTTTAATTTGTGTTTCTTTTGATGTAAAGAAACAAGTTAATGCTAAGTCTTGACTCATTTAATTTATGTTAAAAAAATATCTATTAATTAATTTATAAATATCTATTAATTAAGAAACTAAAATAATATAACTTATATAAAAAAGAATGAATATTAAATATATTTTAATAAAAACAATTCAAATTGCAGATGTAATCTTAAAAAAATTTAATTATTTGATACTTTTGACTGAGAAAAATTTATAATTGAGTGGATCCAATAAACCTGTCGCGAGCTCTGGAAGGTTAAGAAAAAATTGTTTACTCATATGATGACTTTCAAGTGCCAAAATTGAAGTTTGAATTGAACGTTTCATTTTTCAAATCGAGAATAGCTTTGTAATAATTCGTTACGCTTACTAAAGATTACGAGATCTAAACTCAGCAGCCATGTAATCGACGAGCGAAAAAGAGTCAACAGTGAAAATGTAAATAATTTACAACGGACCCGCCCCATCCAGGTCAGAAACTGAAATATAAATATATTACCCGATTTGCATTGATGCGTGAATAGTGATTAGAGTATAGAATTTTACCGGCTGCTGAAAATGGACCACAACCCATGTAATAACGTAGGTCGTCGCAGCAGATGCAATCGCTGGTGCCTTTGCTGGTAGGACTTTTCATCCGCATTGCCTAGAGCGAAACGGTCGACGGTAGTAATTCCAAGCCGTACAGTTTCGTTCATTTCTCGTGCATTAAAAGCTATCGCTTTGAACGCGAGCAGTAAAACGTTTAACGTAAACGGATTGAAGTTCCTATAATAGTTCGCGCGCGGACCATAAGAGATCAACGGCATAACGTTACCACGGTGCGTTTGTGCAGTAATCCGCAAAATTCACGGACAGCATAGTTTTACGGTATTACCTGGTATGGCCTTTCAAAGCCACGGTCGCATTGAAAAAAACGATAATGGCAGTGTTGAAGAATCGGTTATATAGGTCGTCCTACTTTGTGGATTATACTTTTTATATTTTTATATTTCAAAACATTTTGTAAAATTTTAATTTCCGTAAAATCAACTAAGTGAATAGACAATATTCCACTTAAATCGGTCATTTTACAGTCAGAAAAAATTTCAAAATCCTTGGGTTCAGTACTACAGATCATTGAGCAAAATTGGCAAAAAAGAGATTAATATATGTTTATTTATTATTCATAATATAAAATAGATAAGTTATTTTATATTACAAATATTATGATAAATAAACATATTAATCTCTCTTTTGCCAATTTTTGCTCAGAGAGTACTCAGTAAGCGGTCTGTATGCATTTCTTATTTCTCAGAAAATCTGCGGCAGTATTAATTCAACAGAAATATTCAATTATCATTACATTTTATTTATTTTTATATTAATAGCCAAAGAAACTTATCTAGCACTCATATATGTAGATACCTACATATAATAGAAACAAATGATACACATTCTTCAAACTAAAAGTTTGAAAACACTTCCAAAAATTAATACATTCTATATATATATATTTTATAACAATTATAATTAATATTATATAGTTAATATTACTAACGTTATAGCTTAATAGCTAGGACTGAATTTGCTGTGAAAACTTTGACATTTGAATTTCGAGGCTTCAATGTTTCAAAGTTTTGGCATTAATATTCTTCGAAGATTGAAGTATCGAAAAATCAAAATTATATAATAGAATTATTAATGTAATAAATATATTTTCATAAAAAATATATTTGTGAATAAATATATTTACGAATACGTATTACAAATATATTTTTTTCTATTCACACAAATATATTTTTGGAAGCTACAAAGCTTCAAAGCTAACTTCAAAGCTACGAAGTTTCGAAGGCATCTTAAACTTCGACAGTTTCCAAGTTAATTTTGAAGACTCAAATTCTTTCGAAGCTTCCAGTTTTCAAAGTTGTCAAAAGTAACGGTCCTAAGTAACAACCACAATTATGGTAATATGTAATTACAATCACAAGTAAATTTTTCAGTGTATGAATATTTGATTGAGTAATGTCAAAAATGTCAATTTTTAAAAAGTGTGTCTAAACTGTTGATCTGGAGTGTATAGTAAAAAGAGAAAAAGTTTCAATATTTTTTACGAACAAAGTTCTTCCTTAAAATTTAATTACGACGTTATTCCAACCCTTGGATGAAGTTATTCAGAGCAATCCTTTTCTACCGCACGTCGAGCTGTTTCGGAAGAAATAGAGAAATTATTGAACGAGAACGCGGGATTACGTGAAGATCGCAGGTTGTACGGCCCAGCTGGTGCCGCAGACGGAGTTTCGAAATATTGCGACAAACAATGGCCGAAGCAACGGTGAACTTTTACGAGACATCTTTTCGACAGCTGCAAGACGAAAGCGACAGAAAGCTTTTCAAACTGATGTATCGCGAAGGTATCGCGCATTCTGTCACGTCGTTCTCCTACGAACGAGATGAGCTTTGATCGATATGTCCCTCCCGGTTTCAGGTTCCGATTTTATGACATTGCGCTCTGTTTTACGACGTCGCGATGAAGAATCGCTGTTCTATTATAGATAAATTTTGATACGTTACTGCGTATATGGCTGGAATGGATTTATATTTATCTTCCAAACACACTCTTTTTGCCACCTCATAAAATTTTTTCAATAGAGATTTTTATCAAAACCAACACAACATGAATTTATGAATTTTGAAATTTTTGCATCAATTCCCTTGCAATCCAATATTGTTATTTAAAGATTACGTCCAGATTAAACTCACCAATTTCCGCATTTTATTCAATTAGGCAACATGTTTATTATACGTTTTGTTTGAAATTATCCAAATTAAGGGTAATTCACGAAGATTAATTTAAACAGGGTACGTTTACTTAAAATGTCGTGTTTTACAACATTCTCAGTATTTCCGTGTAACCAAGAATAAAAGAGGATTTCAGGCTATTTCGTCGAATAATACTTCGTTATTACGCGACGTATAATGAGGGACACGCAAAACGGCGATCAACTCGTCCAGCTCCATTCTACAAGCATATTTAATGGGATTCTAAAGTCGTTTGTTTTTTTTACCGATTATTTTTTAAATAAATATTTTCTTAACTACCTTTACAGATTTAAAAATCTTTTCCATAATTAAAATATAAACGATAATGTAGTTTAAATCGGTCGACTTCATGTCAAAAACAAAAAAATCGGAAAATTATAATTTGTTTCAGTTTCTGGCATCGTTTAACAATATTTGTTTTATATAAAAGTTTTGTACTTTGTAGTTTTTAGAATTAAGCTTAGATACCTAATATGAAAAAATTTTTTTTTAATTAGTTATAAAATTTGTATATATAATTTGTTCGTGTGTTATTGATATAGTAGTATGATGATGTTTCAATGACACGTAAATCGTATAGATTTTATTGATGCCCCTTTCTAGATTAACTTTAATCTCTTCAGACTTGATTTTATGAGAATTATATTTAACAAAATTTTTTTAATTCATGCGGATTTTGATGAATAATTCATATTAAACAGCTAATTTTTTTTTATTTTGACTATTTGTCCAATATGTACATTATTATATACATCAGATGACGTATGTAGAATTAAATAATTTCAACAAATATAATGTCTTTAAATTTGATGTACATTACGCAGAGTCTAAAGGTGTTAGTCTCGGTTCAACTTGTTCTTCATCTTTTTCTAATTCTTAAAATTAGAAAAAGAAAGGACTTAATTGAATCAAAATTAAAATTAAATTACATCGATAGAAATCGGTAGAATTAAACTATATTAGACATGAACCGGTAAAAACAAACTACTCTAGGATTCCCTTAATCTGGCCTAAGAAAAATGCCACGCGAAAATACGCCGCATCAATAAAAATCGTCAACAATAGAAGCGTTACCGAGAGCGATTTATTTCCGCGACGGCCGTTATATTTCATGCATCCCTGCTTTACTCATCCGTTGCTTTGCAATTAAATCTCGCGTGTAACATGATAAATCCCGTCCGGATTAATGTATATTGTAGCAATATTATACGCGTCCGTCGAACAACCGGCATTTCACGATAGATAGGGCGATTACGACGCACGGTCAAACAAAAATGCAGCTAGTTGCTGCTGTCGCGCCTCTCCAGGCGAGCGACCATAAATCCGCGAAATCGCGTTTACGCAGTGCGACAGGTGCCCGATCGTTGAGTCCCACGTGATTAAGTTCGATACGGCGGAACGTTCGACGACGGCGCCGTGTACAGCTTCGTATTGGCCACTCGAACTGAACGAGAGGAGAGGCCGCGACGTTTAATGGCGCGTGTCCGCCGTCGTCGTCATCGTTTGCAATTAAATCCGGCGGTGTGGCTAAAACTTGTAGCCGCGATTCCCGAGTCGAGTCGAAGGATAGTGCAACGCGACGGCCGATTATGGGCTCGGTTATCGATTATCGCTACCATTATTGCCACCGCATCATTGCTCCATTCGTGACGGCTTTAGGGGATACGGTGCTAATGCGCACGATTGTCAGCGTGGTATTACCTCGAGTCCTCGAGCTGACGCCTAAAGCACGTCGTATGTCTCGCATATAATCCCTATCTACATAAGATATTTAACTCTCCTTCGTCTGTATACCCCGTCGACAGTTGTTATCGCGATTAGTCGCTCCGGGAGAATTGGGATGACATAATGTGATATGTGACTAAAAGACATGTGTAATGTATACTAAAGAAAATGGGAGAACATTAGGAAAATCTATTTCTCTCGGCGTTGACAGAAACCGGTCGTTTTCTTTCGCATAAAAACCATTCAACGGAACGTAATTTACTCGCGCGTTACATCACAAAATCCAATTACCAATACATCATGCTGCACAAGAATACATTGTTAATCCTATCAATGAACTATAGAGAAATGTTCGTAATTCCGAGATAAAATTAGAAAAATTGAGAATTAAAGGAACATTGCAAATAATATACATATCGATTTATAAAAAAAAATCAAATTATTATGAAATTATACTAAACAAAATTAATTAATTGATATTTGTAAAAATATTATTTAATAAATATTTGTTTGAATAATTCTAAAACATTAAATATTTACTAAATATGAACATATATTTATTTGGTATAAAAATTCTTAATTTGATTAAACTATCATTTTTTAAATTAAGTAAATATTTACTGACTATAAATAAATGTTAATATTATTTTAAAAATATGTATGAAGATTTATTAATTTTTTTTAAGTATATAATTATTCAGCGTTTTCTTAGGCTTATTCTATTTAAAAAAACGTAAAGAAATCGAAATAGACAGTAATAATGAGACTTCTAAGTTCACTTCAAACGCATTTATCGTATCTAATGAACGCTATTGTGTAATGTACATTTAATGAAGTTGCATACTAGAATATTCCCGAGATCATTCGGAATAGAAACAAGTTAGTTGTGGTATGATTACGAACTAGCCATTGTGGCTCGCCGCGAGCTGCTGTCCTGCGAATAATACTATTGTCGTTATCGTTACGGGTGCGTGTGGAGACCTGTGATTAGAGAGAATTCTATCGCCATAACATTCACAATTGTAACTACTGAGTTACTGACCTGTTGGTTCGTTAGGGCAGACTGCAGCACGGCGGATGAACCCGGTCAAGTGCCTCAAATCGGTGGTCTCTCGAATTTCGGCAAGGTGAGTACAATATAAAATATTTTATAAATTTATACGTTACTTTAATATATTTTCGAATTCTCATATTTACAAAGAAATTCACTTCTTTACTTTAAAAATACAATTTAAAAAAATTAAGTTTCTCAAAAAATGGAAAAAACTATTTTTCAACTTGATAGAAAATTATTAATTAATCAAATAATATCAAAAAGAATATATTCTTAACATATTCAAATGTCATTTTTGTCATTTTTGATTTCAATCCTTAAAAAAATCATCCTTTTTGAATTGTGATGATTTTCTTTTTAAACCATCCTTTTCCAATTATGATGATTTTTATGAAGTTAGTTTTATGAAGTACTCGTAGTTAGTTCTCTTTTGGTCACTGGCATGGTTTTCGTTGTGGTTAGACTTAATTTAATAATAGAAAAATTAAATTTTTTTAACTAAGGTCCATCACTAAGTTAATAATTTTGCAGTAACTTTTAAAATTATCACACTATAAAATCATTAGTTTAGTGATTAATCATAACTAGAAAAATATAATTTTTACATTATTATTAGATTAAATGAGGTTAAAATTGTCATTTAAGTAACAAAAAATAAAAAACCAAGCCTGATAAGATAATGTTTAATTAACTCATTTATAGTAATAATTTTAAAATTACATTTTTTAATTGTACTTTTGAAGTAAAAGAATGATATAAAAATTAATATTGAATAAGAATCTATTAAACGATAATGATGTACTGTTATTTATATTCGTGATATTTCATTCCTTCAGAATTCTCTGTGAAGTTTATAAGATTTTGTGAGACCGCAAACGCGCATTTCGATTATGGCATCAGACACGATTTCATGAAACACGTAATCTATTCCTCTATAAATCTATCACGCTTTATAAAATTATTTTCGCAAAAATAACATACATCTCTCTGCGTTATATACGTGATGTACAAAAAAAGTTACAACCAGTGCTATCAATCCTGTTTGTTATTATTTATGACGCAATCACGCGTAAAATGGAATTGAAAAAAGAATAACGTAGATATTCGCATATTGAAATATAATACGATTTGATTGCATTTCTTTTCGAAACAAATCTCTCGAAATTTACCGGATTAACAGCTTTAAAGTTCGATTATGGTGTCAAACAGAATTAAAACACACTTTCTGTCCGCTCTCGACTCGTTGCGATAGAATGACCGATTTTGACCGCGTCAGCCATATTCAACTGAGAGTTTAATCGTAAATCTGGTGTACTCAGTGCGTCCCTTTCCCGCTTGTATCGACGTGTCGTCCATAAATATACGGATTTCAATGAGAATTTAAACGAAAAATGGTTTCACCAAAGTGGAACCGAAATGTTTTTGGTTCAATCGGAGATCCATCGGGAACGCGGTGATATCGGATTTATTGCTGCGGTGATTTCACCGCGGTCTGTGCGTATGCACAGGAAAAGCTGACGCTATAACGCAATAATAGTATCAAATCTTATGATATATACTATTTGCTCGTTGCACCACACATTTTAGTGTAAGAACAATAAAAATAGTATTAATGCGATACATATTAGTGTCATATTTTATTTTACACTCTGCAAATGCTGCTCATCAATGGAAAAAAGTTAAATGATAACAGTAATTAATTTAATGTTAATTATTAGACGGAACGATTTTGATGAAGTATATAAAAATTTAAGTAGATATAGATCAAAAAATAATTGTGTTAGATCATCAAAATAATTATGTAGAAAACTCAAACATGATGAACAATGCTGTAAAAAATTTTAACAACCACTTTGAGCGTCTTACGTAATTATTTTAGAAATCCAACAAAATTACTCTTAGTATCCAATTAAATTTTTAAATACTTCAGCAAAACTACCCTTTCTATATATTTTTTTTTAATTACAATCAATTTCATATAATTATATTAGGAAAAATTTTTCATTGAAATTGAATGAACTAGCAAATTCTGATATCGGACAAAATTCTGATTTTAACTATTATAGAATTATAACAGATGATTTAACTATTATAAAATTATAACAGATTCGAAAAATTTGCTCATTTTTAACGAGAATTCCAATTAATTCAACTTTACATTATTTTTCCAGTGTAGCAAGTAATTATGTAATGTGTCTTCAATGTTTCGCAGCACTTTAAAAGTGTTTGTAAAATAAACACTAAATTTCGCGAAACTAGATTTTGAGCAACTACCGATCGAGCTGATCCTCTGAAAACTACTAAAATGGATGGAGCATGTTTCAAAGTTCTACTGCACCATTGTTCGCTTACATGACGAAGGATGGTTAGTCCAACAGATTAGTGGTCGTTTCCAAATTCACTTCAACTCCCTGATACGCCAGCTCTGTCCACTACTGTTAAAGTAGCTACTTAACTTTTAATATGTAAATTTCATCGCCGAGAACTTTAAGAGCATTAGATAGATCCTCTTCATAAAGGCCAGCAATATTTGAGAAAGAGATATATTTTGAATAACTCGGGTTTATTAAAACACTTTACAAGAGATACATCAGAGAAAATATATTTATCTCAACGACAAGGCCCTCGACAAAATCGAATAGAGATTAAAACAATGATAATGTTGACGAATTGTAGGGCTATAACATGAAGTGTTACTTTGAGATTAACTTTGAATATCGGTCTATTTGTAAACGATGCCGTTTCTAGACAATCACTTAAGAACAATGCCGCCTTTCATCTTTCGAGAATATATCTTCCGCTTGTCAAACTTTAAATTTCTTGCGAAAGTGTCACGTAGAAGGGTCGTTGCGAAACTTCACGCTAGGGAATAGTCTGAGCAAAAGGGATGACACTCGACAGTCTTCATCGATTCGAATGAGCTTAGGAAACAGTAACAATAAACTTTCCTTAGCCAATTTCCAAGTTAGGAAATTGCAGTAATTGATCCAGTTCCATTTGTGCCATTAATGTTGTCTCTGAGTAGCTCATTGAATTTATTTCGATTATCGAAAAGCGAACTAAATTTATCGATAAATTGACATTATAGATTTGATTAGAACAATTGGAGAAAGTGCTATAAGTTTCTCGAATCGTTTTTATATTTTTTTATATTCTTAATTGATTTAATAGCTATTTAATTTGCTCTATTTAATTCGCTCCTTTCGCGCTGATTTCCAATTAATCGATTTCTACGTAGTCTTAATCATCGTAGATGTGCCGTAACAGAAATTTTGATTGTGTTTGCGACAGTGGTATGGTTAAGTCCTTGCCGATCAAGGAGGAATTGAATTTGCACCACGGTGATGCTTCGAGCTGTTAGTTGCACGCTCAAACAGAGCTCTAAGAACTTTATCGGTGAGGAACTACCTAAGCTCTTGTTCCATTATCGATAGGACAGTGTTAGCAAGGATGTTTAATCAAATCATAACGTCTGTGTTTACATTTCTCTCATTTCTGATTAACTTCAAAAAATTGCGCTCATATATAATATAATCATATATAATATAATCTTGTATATATTATAATTTTATCTTTGTGCTTTGTTCTTCAATAAGTACATTCTTTTATATTTCTACAAAACAGAATACCACTAACTGTTCTACTTGTATACTTTTCGCTTAATTCCATCTATGCCGGCATGTCTACGGCGTGTCTACGGAAATAAAATACGCGTCACTCGTTGCGAACGACGGCGAAGGAATTTTCTCAAGTTCTTCCTGCAAGAAATGCACTTGCCGGTTCATTCATATTTTATGTGTAGAGTAAGATCGGTCTTTCCCATTGCGCGTTTATCCAACTGTACTGTCGGATATCATTCCTTCAATGCGCAGCCAGAAATAGAAAATAGAGAAAAAAAGAGGGAAGGTCGATAGATAAATAGATAAATAAATAGAGCGGAAAAGGAAAAAAGGGAAGGAGAGGGAGAGAGAGAGAGAGAGAGAGAGAGAGAGAGAGAGAGAAAGTTGCAGACGATCCCACGGGCGTTTTTCGACGGGCGAAGACGCATGTGAATGAGTTTAGAAATGCGATACAAGTGTAAACCAACCGCGGACGTAGAAATTGCTCAAATATTCAGTAGAAATAACATGACAGGTGCACCGACCCTTATCCTTTTGGGACAAAGAGAGATTTATCGCGTCCTCGTCGCGTCTAACCCAATACAAACATACATCTCAAGACGTAAATAAAGTCTTAAAGGCTTAAGATCTACGTGATGATATTTGTGTTATAACGAATAAAACCGTCGCGATATATATAGCTAGAATAAACACTGAGAGAAAAAGTTATTAACTTGATTAAGTTAGTTTAGCTCGTCTTTGTTTAACTTAAATACCCACAATCTCACAAATGAAAAAAAAATACAAACGAACTAAATTAATTTAATCAAGTTAACAACGTTTTTTCTCAGTCTAGACTTTTCTCAGTCTAGACCTATTAAATTTGCAGTAAAAAGAGATAAAGATGAGCTTGCTGCTAGTGTGATCATAAAATATATCAGGATATATATTTTTCCATTTGCCTTTTAGATTTGCTATACACACTATACAGCATAGATTGCATTTGCTCCAAATTGTCGGAAACGAAAACAAACGGGATTGCTAACCGTGACAGATGTTGCGATTACATAACACATATACTGTTCGGTTGACTCCTTTGCAATGAGTATTTCGTGTCACGTTCTCATGGTACTTTAACGGTATTCTGTAGATTCGCATCTTATTCCACGTTCGGAACGTAAGGTGGAAAATCCCGGATTCTGGTAGGCGGCACGAACGTGCACGATTAAAAATTCATAGAAAATCTTCGGGTCGGTACGATTTTACCGAATCTTGGATTTATTCGAAGTTCCAGAAAAGTTCGATTGCATTAGTCCGATTGTATCGCTGTGGGAATCGAATTCGCGCAAAACTTTCTCGATCATTCAGAAATCGTTTCGATATACAAATAAATTATTCAGAAAGAAATATCTTTTTTTTTTTATGAGTCGCTATATCCTAGAAATCAGAAAATCCCATTACTTCTGCAGGCACC